TGGAGAGCCTCAACCTCAAGATGCTCGTGCGGCTGGAGCTTAAATACTTAGGATGGGGCGAGGAGCCCCGCTACGTGGTCGAGTGCTACCGCTCGGAGGACCGTCAAGAATTCGTAGCCTCCATCGGCCTATTGTGCCAGCAGCTTCATCACTTCACCGACGTCTGCCCGGGGGCAGCCAGGAATCTGCGCTTCGTGGACGACGCCTTCGAGCTGACCAATCTCCCTAAGAAGCTCACGGGTTGGCTGAAGACTGGCCTGAGCGCCATCCACGCCCGAGGCTTCTACGATCTTTTGGGCGAGCTGACGCTGTTAGTGGTCCACCCCCCGGCCGACTTGCTGACCCCCAACGGGGAAGATAGGGCCGAAAAGTAACCCCAGAGTGGATAAAAAACTAATCCTAAGAGACTTTTGTACTTCACCTTGGACTTTTCGTACTTGTCTCTTTTTTCAGAGCATATTTACCAGATATATTGCGTAGTTCATAAAAATGTATTTCTTTGTATTTATTTTGGTTCTATGGTTTTTCTTTGGTTGTTGATTAATCGCACTGCCACCAAGATTCTAGCTTTTGCGAGAATTTTATTATTGTGCATATATTTATGAAATGGGACTTCAAAGGCGGAGATTTTTTCTTCTCCGGTGGAAAATCTTAACCTAGGGTCATGCGATGCGCGGGTGATCTGTATGATGTCATCGGGGCACTATAAGTATCGATTTTGATTGCAATTGTGAAAAGTCGTAAAACTATGTATAGTGGCAAGTCTTTAAAAATCTCAGAACACAAAAGGCTGAGCCTGAGAGTAAAAGAATAACATTCGCAGCCCTTCTTGATTCTGTATTCAAATATTGAACTATTATTGAACCAGTGTTGAACCAATATAGCATAAATAAAACCCAAAAATTTATAAATATTAATAGATCCATTTATTTAAATACAACATAACATTTTACTAAGGATAGAAACATTAATTTAGGAACATAGGACCATAAGAACTAGCAATTTATTTATCTTTTTAATTAGTCTATGCAGTAATTGGAAAGCTACTCCCTTTAGTGAATCCTATTTGATGTCCCATGTAAAACTATTCTTATTGAAATAGCGCCCTCTATTCCCTATATTCTTATATTCCTATATTCCTTTTATTTATTTATTTATTTATACAGGGCTAACAGATAATTAAAATTATGGGCTAGCAACAATGTTGAGCAATGGCAACTTGGGCCTTCAGCTCGAATTGTACTTAATATTTTTAGGATTTCTTATAAGTATTTATTTATATAATCGGCTAAGATAGAATAGAGTTATATGCGGTGGTATAAATTTTTTGTTTCTTGAAATTGTAGGATTATTGAAATGTTTGGTGGTGTGGGGCTTGAAAGTGCTTCCAGTGAGATGGCTGGGTGGTTGTTTTTGGTGATGTGGTAGCTGTTGAGTTTGAGTTGGTTAATTGATTAGTACTAGGTTGATGTCTTCGTTATGTATGATAGTGTTTTTTCTTGGTGAGTGTTTATTATATATTTTTGTAAGTCTTTGGTGTTTAGATTTTCAATCATTAGAAGTGGTTGCGTGGTTGCATTTTTGGCTAGGGTGTCCGCCAGTTCGTTACCTGGAATACCTACGTGGCCGGGTATCCAAAGTAGCTTAAATTTAGTTTTTAATTTTTGGAGCAGATTCCGTGCGTGTGAGGTGTAGTGTTCGCTGTTGTTCGGGTTTTTTATTGCATCGATTGCAGAGAGGGAGTCGGAGCATATGCAAAATTTTCCTCTTTTATTTTTTAGCAGTTCGATTCCCTCTATTATTGCTAGAAGCTCGGCGGATAATACAGAGGAGTAGTGTGGCAGAAGGCCTATTTTATGACTTTTGTTTCGTTCGTTATTTCGAGACTGGTAATTGAGTTTGCGTATAAGATCCATCTGAGTAAATGTAGGTGAATTTGTGATTGTCTTTGGTCTTGATTTCTGTAAATAGTGTCCGAAAAGTTTGTGGTGTTGTGTTTTTTTTGTTGTACGTGCTTAATGTCGTGTCAATTTTTAAAATATCAGTGTTCCAGGGTGGTGTGGTCTGTAAGTGTTGAGTAGTCATCTTAAGTGGGAGCTTTATATTCCTATATTCCTTTATTTTCGCACTATATTCCTAATACGCCGCATGGTCTAAACTTTAGACTCTAAAGATTATGTAAAATAAAAAAATAGCAAGAAAAGTAATGTAATTGCAATTTATGGACTGAATTTAATTTCAATACTTAAGTAATATTAAAAAATATACATATTTGTCGAGCACCTATTTATTTCATGGCGCGTTCTTCAAATTTACGAAAGAAACAACTTACTTTAATAAATAATTACCATAATTTAATTTGCTGGCTTTATTGTTTTGTTAAATATCTATCTTAAAATCTCAAACTGCTAATGAGTTTCTTCCTTTTTTGGACAATTTTTAGTCATTTATTTACATAAAAAAAAACCAGAACATGTTGATGCCAAAGACTGCAGGCCAGAACGGATGTGAGCGATTCTTCTTACAAGCTTTACCAGTTTAATTTCCGCCAGTCTTTATTTGAAAATATTAAGGCCCCAAATGCGAGAGTCTCATGTGAGTATTCTGATGTAAGAATTTTTGTTTTCAAATAGGCTGTGCCCTTTCAGTCTTGCCAGGATTCAAAGGTGACACATTCTCTCGCCCTAAAACCTCAGTCCTACATATTGATTCAACAGAACCACATCAAAAATAAATAGAGCAATATACTGTTTTGCTGTATAAATATTTAAAACAGTCAAATGGCGAATGCATTAGAGGAACTTATCGAGAACCCTATCGAAGACGGAGAAAATCCTATCGATGAGGTGGACAAAGAACTCGAGCTCCAAGGCACTGGAGGCAACAGTGAAATGGCGAATGCATTAGAGAAACATTTTGAGAACCCTATCGAAGACGGAGAAAATCCTATCGATGTGGTGGACAAAGAACTCGAGCTCCAAGGCACGGGGGGCAACAGTGAAATGGCGAATGCATTAGAGCAACATTTCGAGAACTCTATTGAAGACGGAGAAAAGCCTAAGGATGAGATGGACAAAGCACTCGAACTCCAAGGCATTGGAGGCAATATCGATAGCGATTCCGATTCCGATTCCGATGGATTAGTTGACGAAACACCCAGTCGCCGTGCAAACATCCACACACAAAACTTCCAAAAGCTTCTGAAGGCGCCGATGGAACAATTCGACATCAACAAAATGGATACAATCCCGCCGGATATGATCGACGAGGTTTTACATTGCACCTTCAGGCATTTGAAGCTAAAGTTGAAGATCGACCGCGTACTGCTAAGGACATTGCACCGAAAACAGTGGGTAGTCAGCCAGCTGAAGGACACATTCCTGGTGAGAATGGACAACGAGAAGCAGACGGCGCTGGTGCAGCCCAGATCCTTGTGCCACATGGCCAAGGACAAAATCATGGAGCTGTTCATGAGGGCGACCCTCTTTCAGTTGCAAGAGCAGCTGGGGAGGTTTGAAAAACGTGTAGCTGAGCTCAAAGATTTGCAGAAAAATCAAATTCTCTGGAAGATTAGATCCCAGAAGGTGAAGGCTACAGGATCTGGGGGAACTGCTAAATCCAATGAAGGAGCTGGACCAGCTGGGGTATACAAGGCACCCACTGACGACACTGGATATATAGCTTGCGAGTTGCGACGCGACATAGCCTACCTGGAAAAATCCATTATAGCTAGCCAGCACTACAAAGATCACCAAGCCGAGTTCATTAAGAAGATGAGGGAGCACAACCAACTTCTGCGCCAGCCCCTCTCCGGGGTGCCGCTACTCGCACCCAACGCACCACAGGCAGCTGACCCATCCACAAGCCAGCTGGTCGAGATTATGGATCCGGAGTGTGCTCCGAAGGCCCCGATTCTATTAGAGGAGAGAGATTCTAAATTGGAGAGGCTGATCGATCTGAAGAAGAAGCTGCAGCTTGTTGTTCCAGGCGGAGGCCAGTGATCATCTGCCCTCTGGCTTTCATTTGTTATTTATGTATATTTTTTGTTATAATAAAAACTTTGGCCAATAGTACCACCAAAGAACAAGTGTTTCATCTTACTTGTGAGTTCCAATAGTGTTTGGCATTATAGAAATTAACATTTTTGAAAAGCAAGCCGCCCACGCACCAATATTAAACGCTCAGTTCTCGAAGCCCGGCATGGCCAAAAGCCAAGCTAAAAGTTGTCAAGTACAACGCTTATAAATAGCCCGATGCCTAAACAAATGTATGAATGAATCCGAGTCAGCCAGCGGTTGACTCAATCACTGAATATCTCAAAGATACAGCAAATGACTTTTAACTGAAATCGGACAGCGCGCAATGATCGAAGCCAGCAACAAAAAGTAGTTCCGACTCGGGCCAAGTTTGTCAACAACCCAGAGACCAGAATGCTTCGGGGAATGTGTCTCGCACAGTGGTCCAAAAATTTCTTTTTTCCCTTAAAAGTAGAACAAATTTTTTATTTGATTTCTCAGTCTATTTAACTGCAAATTAAGTTTTTTTTAATCTTTGATAATAATCCATAAATAGATTATTTTGATAACTACACACATATATGTCTAAGATTTACAACGTAATATATATCTTAAAAATATCCTAGTTTATTTAAGAGTTTTTTAAATTATGTTTATAATTATGTTTATTAACATACTTGATAAAAATATTCATAAATATTGTTTAGCTTCTGAAAAAACTTAAGGTTAGGTTATTTACCATATTTCTTTCACTACATATCAAACTTTTTAGCACTACGCACTGCAAATTCGCCCAAAACCTTTGTGTCTCTCACCACTGTTCCCAAAGGGAGTGAATAGGAGGCAAAGGGGCGTGGCTGGGGCAAGGCGTGGAGCACCTGGCAGATGACGCCAACGTCGCTCAGCTGTTTCTCGCCAGAGCCAAGTAACCTGGCTTATAAATAGCGCAAGATCGCCTAGAAGCCGCCTCAGTTCAAAGCGAGCTCTATCCCAGTGTTTGACTTGAAATATTTTAAATCTTTATTTTTTTTTTCATTAAACAGTATTAATACATTTTCAGTTTGTGTGTGTTTGTGTTAAAGAACCTAAACCCCAAAATGGTGAGTTGCAGTGGGAAATCCATTTTTTTTTTGTATAGTTTTATGATAAAAACTTTATGATTTTTTTTATTGTGTTTATTGATGGTTCAATAAAATTACGCACAAAGGCACTGCGTAAAGTGATACGTGATTTGATTACTTAAGTACTCAGATAAATATTAAAACACAGTAAAAATGAAAAAAATAGCCAAGGCGATTAGAGAAATAATGGAGAACTTGAGTTTTTCGGTTTAATATTTACTTCCGGTTGGATATATGGCTGGTACTATGGAAAGTATTTTAAACAAGCTCTAAAAATCTTTTTGTCACATTTGAACAAAATAAGTTAAGTGTCCATTACTATTTAAATATTTAAAATTCTTGATGCACAAACATATTAAGGACAAATAGAAAATTAATCGTTTTAATATAAATTATGGTTGATAATTTCAGAGCGTTTGAATATTATATATAATTAATTTATAGTATTTAAGGAAATTGTTTCAGATGAATATTAAGCTTGAATATATAGCTTTGTAATTAATAAAACACGGTTTTTTGATATCTAGAAAGAGGAAAAATTATGAATGAATGCCCTGTTTTACGAAATCAGAGAAGATAATACAAACGGCTTAGTTTTTTCTAAGTTTTTTTTTAACGACACACAAAAATGAATTCAAGTCTTAAATTGTACAAAAATCTAAAAAAAACTATTGAAAACAAATTATAGGATACCGAAAACCCATTGAAAGTCATTAATTATAAACACCCTGGAGATTATATTTCTCAAAACATCAATCACAGGAGAACAAAAAGACCTCAACAATAACTCAAGAATAGCCCAAGAACCTCATTAAATTCCCACATAAATCTAGACAAGCCCACGATCAGTTTGTTTGTCTGAAAAACCAATAAAATATCAATCATAGAATGTCAAAAGAAATAAAGTAAAATATGAAAGAGCAGGAATAAATTTAAAAAAATGTATAAGCCCTTAAAAGCCTTTTAATCATTTAGCAAAAACTCATTATAAATTATATCAAAATAAGAAATCTAATTTCCTTTTGCAATTTCCGACCTCAGTGAGTTTTTTATTGGAACTGAACAACTAAATTAATATGAATCTGGATTACCATATTGGTCATCGGTCAAAAGTAATTTGCATAATCTTATTGTATTTCGATTTGAATCATTTTTTGCGTTGCTTTTTTCTGGCTTTTTGCTTTTTGTTTGAAATTAAATTGAACTTCCAAAGAAGCGGATAACAAGTTTATCTTAAATGTGTCATCCCAGCGAAACAATGATGATCCTCACCTTGGAGCCATATCATTATCATCGATCGTTAACTCATTCGCCGGTTTAGGCCAAATTTGGTATCAGCCTGCTATTATTAAGCAGTCCAAACCAATAATGTTTGCCACCGTCCCAGTTGGCCCAGTCACTGGGTTTTTTTTTGTCAGCATTTTAGTATTTATTTATATTGTTTTTTGTTGGCTTATTTGTTCTGTCGGTTCTGGACGATGACAAATTCATAAATAAGTCGGAATGGGGGCTTGTGTTTTTTTTTCAAATATCCGATTGATTTGTTTGCCAGTTCCCAGAAACTGATTTTGCTTTAAACTGCTTGACAGACTTTAATTTGTTAGAATTTGGTTCAGGTTTCAGGGTTTTTAAATTTATGGTTTATAAATATTTGTCTTAACAGTTGTTTTTTTGCATATATGATATGTATATATCCTTACTATATCTATATATCTTTATTTCTTTTATCAAATTTGGTCCAAATATTATTAATTTAGAAATATTATTACACTTTTAAAGGTTCTAATAAACGAAGTAATAATTATATTGTTTGGTTTTTAATTAATGTTTCTTAAACTTTAAGACTTGTTTCAAAGAACTATAAATTAGAATAAAACATCCTTGCAATTGTCGAACTCCTCATTCAGATCGAAGCATCCTTGTGCATACTTAGACATATAAATATAGTGCTTACATAGACATCTTGAAATCCTGGAGATCTTGTACAATTTTTTTAGTGAGAATGGTCATTGAATAAATACTCCATACATATTTTTGTTTTCTTTATAACTCTTGGCTTGGGGTTTAGGTTTTATGGAATAGCTTTTAATAGACAACATATATATATTTTAAAGATATTTATTGGAATCCAGTTTTGGCGAATAAACACTTATACTTGACTATGTTTATTATTAAAGATTTTAACTCACTGCTTCCGAGTTAAAAAGTATTAAAAGATAATAAGATTAAAATTATATTTTAAGACTTTCATATAAGACCGTTTGTATTTTCCTAAATAATCAGATTAAGATAGTCATTATTTTCTAAAAATATGATTAAAATCTCCAAGTTAACTAAGCTAAACATCTAAGAATAGTTTTAGAAACGTTTTGATATGCATTTGGGACTACATTTTTTTTGAATTGCAACCTATGTTTTTGCAGCAACCGACTTGGCGTCTCCCGCATGTGGCCCTGGCGCTTGTGGCAGTGGCAGTAACCTTCGGCAGCCTGCCCTATGGGGCCTTAGGTAAAAAGATCGAGAAGCGGTGTCTGAACTGCTCATACCGTACATATTACACCTACGGCGACGGGAGGTCCCTGCAGCGGGTGGTCTATAGCGACCCGGTCTACACACGCGGTATTTACAGCAGAAAGCCACTATTTTTTTGTATTCAACCCACCAGTGCACCAAAAAATTAATCAAAACCTTTAGACAATTCTATGTAACACCGCACTGATGCACATAAAGTTTAATGCAAGTGAAGTGGCTGTGTTCGTTTACCTCCGGACAGATCACCACAACCGACACCCTAACGCTGGTAGTTTTAGTAGTTACAGCTTAACCAACACAAAAAAAAAACAAAAAAAACGTCACACGTCCTTTCACGCGTAGCTTAGATCCTTGCACCATGCATCACCTGTAGAGTATCTTGTGTCCTTCTTCCTGAACAGCCGCCCAGTCGTACGGATGCAGCGGGAATCCTTGCGGTGTAAACGCTGTCTGCCAGGAGGCAGCCGGCGGACGACCGGTCTGCTCCTGCCCTCCGGGATTCAGTGGCAATCCGCTCACCCATTGCAACCGGGGCGAGTGCCTGGACAACGTGGACTGCCGCGGCGATCTGCAGTGCAAGGACAATCGCTGTGTGAATCCTTGTGTGGGTGCCTGCGGAATAGGCTCCAACTGTGATGTAAGTACTTGGATAGCCTTAGCCATACATACCTCCAATCGAATCAGTATTCGTGTCAGTATTCTTAATCTCATTGTTCTGATAATGTTGTTGTTCATTGTTGACCCCTGGCCTTTGTCCTCGTTTCCAGGCCAGGAATCACGTGGCCGTGTGCAGTTGCCCTGCCGGTTACAACGGCGACCCCTATCACGCCTGCCACCTAAACGATCCAGGTGAGTCAAGACCACACTTTATTTTTAATTTTTTTTTGGGAAATCACATAAAATTTTAACATAAAACGAGACAAAAAACCAAAAAACAATTTCAATGTATATACAAATTTAGAATTTCGATCTTACTTGCACGAGACGAAAACATAAAGTGAGGGCTATAGAAACCAGAACCAAACGACATGACTTTTTCCAACAACATGACTTACTTAGATTCGAAAATTTCCGAAAACAGACCGTATAAAAGGCTTTTTATTCAATATATTATTATCTACATAAAATTCAGCTGTTATCTTATAAATTCTAACCTCAGTTATAGATCTTTGGTATCAAAGATTTGGTTATCGTTGGTATTTGAATTATGGATGAAGCTACAAAAAGTCTTCCAGGAGTCTAGTTACTAAAATATAAATCTATTGGAAGAAAAAGAGACAAAAGTAAATGCCAGTGACCGTGATAATAAATATGGGTAATATTTTAAGACCATTTCTTCCTAAATATGCCTCCTTTTTTAAAAGAATTTTATGAACAGGTTTCAAAGCTATTTAAGCAAGAGAAAATGGGGGTTTAAAACCAGTAACTCAATCTTAAACACCTCTTTGGAATAAAACATAAGCTAAAAACAAAAAAAAATATTTGAATGGCTCCCAGTTCATTTTTACTTTAAAATTAACTTTATTTTCTGCTTCAAGATTAGTAAAAAATTCAAGCGAATTAAAAGAAAAATGTATAATATGTTTCTTGTAAGTGCAAGGACTTTATAAACATAACTACAACAATAGCTCTGCAAGCTTCCCTTTAACTACACAGAATAAATTTACTTAAAATTAAAGCTTAATTTAAAGCCAAGTGAAGGGTTTTTTGACAAAAACAACCTTTACAAAGATTGTAATACAAACAAATACTTAACCTTGCCGAGCCTCGTTTTTAGGTCAACTGAAGCCAGAAAAACTGGTTTTCCAAAGGGTTTCCGCTTTAAAAAAAATCTCTAAAAACCCAGAAGATTCAGGAATAAAAGTAAACAACAACCAAGCTATGAAAAATGCATTCGAGAGGAAAAAAAGTGTCAAACTCAATGAAAAACCACGCACAAATGCAAAAAATGACGCGAAAACTTGCAATCTATTTGTAAACAACCTGAAAAACAATAAACAAATGCCAGTGTGGGCATCGGACTGTTGCGGAACAATGTCAATATATAAATGACACAACATCTGATAATTAGCAGTCAATTGTTTTTATATAGGAGTATTTTTAGTAAAACCTACTTAGCCCAAGAGTGCTGAAGGCACTTGGCTCTGACGTCGCAGAACCAACTGGTTTTGACCAAATCGGTTCAAAGAAGTCGGTGAAAAAAATATGTGGGCTTAGCTTGCATACAATTTTGCGCTTCATAATAATAACAATAATAATTATAATAATAATAAGAGTAATAGTCCGCAACACCCAGCCAGTAGCGCACTTGGGGCCTTTGCAGTTTTATGGTAATTAGTCGGGCATTTCGTTTCATAATTGTCAAGATCAAGGACGCGGTGGCTGGCTGTGTGGGCGGTCGGCTCCCAGCCCACCCAAGGTCACCAGCACAAGGCAGGCCCGGGGGCTACAAGTTAGCATCCGTTTATGGTTATGAATACCTTATACTATTCACGCCCCATATTCGAGTTTTCAGTTTGGGTTCGAAACCGCATACCAGAGCAAATGCATCAATGAGGGAATTGTATATTTATTTTTGGCCAAGCTTAAATGCTCTTCATGGCTTCCTTTTGTATAAAAAACTATGTTTAAGATAACACTGTTTGAGGTAATTGAGTGTTTAACTAAAATTTATATATATTTATTAAATTTTTTGCTTATTTTTCAACGATTTTTAAATCCATACAGGAGAAAATACCTTTCATTTCCAAAAAGAAACCATTAGACTTACTTTAAAAGATAAGAGCTAGATGAGATGAGACTCTTCATTTCAATTTAATTTGAAATACAATTTTCCTGCTTATTCTTCAATTTCTATATATTTTATTAAAACAAACTACCCAGAAATAAATGAGATATTTATTTAAAGCTAAAAGTACATGCATGTAGTACTGCATATCTAACAAGCTTTTAAATTATTATTTCTTTTTAAGCTTGAATAAATAAAATAAATAAAAAGTTGGTAATATATAACTTGGCTATTTAAATTAATTTTTTCTTCTTCTGAAATATGTAGTTTTCTCTAAAAAGAAAAGATTAAAAAAAAACTTTTAATTAAAACAAATACCCCGCCCAGCCAGTCTAAGGCTATTAATTTAGATTACGTTTTAAAATGTACATTTTTATTAACACATTAATAAATTTGTAAATTTAAATGTAAATTTATGTAGGCCTCAACTTGCAAAAAATAATTTAAAAAGTGTTTTAAATTTTACACATATCGTTTAGTTTTTTTGTGATAAAATTTTTCATGCTAACGCAGTTGCAAAAAATAGTCACAGTCACTTTGATAAGTTTAAAGGGGTCTTCTGGTCCCCTGATTCTCTGTGACCCTTGACCTGTGAGTCCCAGCCCCCGAAATCGCTGTCAACATCCGGTGTTGCTGCCTTTGTCGCAGCTCTGGCCCTATTTGTGACCCGAAATTTTTGATTTATGCCGCTTTATGTGATTTATGTCTCCGGTCAAAGGTTACGCCGTAACGCTGCTAACGAATGCGCCCTCCTTTTGGCTAATAATTGGGCCCAACACTCGAACTGGGCCAATGGCCAAATCGCCAAGTCAAAATAGCCAAAGCTCGTTTATGCGCATATTTTTCGATTTTACTTATAATTTTCTTTTATTTTTATGCCAATTGTTGTTCTCGGGCTTTCTTATTTTTGTATTATTGTTGTTGCTTTTATGGTAATAATGTTTGTTGTCGAAAATAGGAAATAATTTTCCGTTGTTTTGTCGTTTCGATGGGAAAAGTTGTGCCATTATGAGGCCTCTGCTCGCCGTATTCTTCCTTTATTTTTTGCATAATTTCCAAGGAGTAATGATATTTTAACGCACTGAAAATAAGGATTCTTAAATTAAATTAAAAGTTAATACATTTAATAATATCGAAAATAAATTAGCCATTTTTAAACCCTTTTATAATCAAAAGATATAAATATTTTTTTGATTTTTGTGAGAAAGCCATTTTTTCAACAAAACTGTCAGAATCAGCTACTATTTTTTGTGAAATTCCGGAGCTTCCTTGATCAGCTTTGAAAAATATATAAGATATCCAGTGCTCCCAAAGGAGCTGCATCCTTTTTGGTTTACTGCCAGAAAAACAATCGAAATGAAAAAAAGAAGGAGCCGCAAGTCGCTCCACCCACCGGGTCGTTTAAAATTTATGTTTCCAAGTCGGTTGCTAATTGGAAATGCAAATAAATATTGCATTGCAGTGGGAATTGCACGCAGCCGAAGGACACACAGAACGACAGACAACAAGGATGCTGGCAAGAATCCCATGTAAATGGAAATGAAATCAAGAAAATAAATATCGAATGGCAACAGGACGACCCCCGATTCCCCAAAGAATATTTACGAATTTCGAGCTAAAGGATAGAAACTATTTTTAAATTTTATTAAACTTGACTTGAATTTAATGTGGCAGAACCAGTCCAGTCCGGTCCAACCCAGGTCTGAAACGAGTCTCCAAAACAAACTGAATATATTGTATAACAAGGACGCAGGATACAGTTCCTATTAGAAGGCGGGATGAAGTAGAGTTTTATACAAATTTTCGAACCAGATATTATCCTTCTCCGTGAAATTCGGCGATCGGAAGAAGCTCTTGCCTAGGAGCTCGGTGATTAACTCAGTATTTATATGCACTGGTACCTGATCAACTGAACCATACGGGTTGCTTCTCAAGCGACGTTTGTAAATTTCGTACAACTTTTTAAAAAATTCTAGGTCAAAACAGTATTTTTTGCGATCACAAATGAACTGCTCTAGTTTGCATATTTCGGGTTTTAGAAATGAAGGACGTATGTTACCTTCAGTCTCCTTTAGGTAGTGGAGGTACTTCGCTTGGACTTCCCTCAACTTCACCACTCTCTCCTGGAGAACACGCATGTGCTTCTTACACTGCGACATTGCTGTCTTCAGGACGAAATCCAAAATCGTGTCCTTTGCAAGTGCCCCCAGGGTCTTTGGATTTGCGAGACGGTTTGGTTTCACGGTCAATTTGGAATAGAGCGACACCTGAAAATACATTACTCGACGCTGCCCTTCTATACACATTTCCATAAAATTATTATCCCGTTTCAGTCTCTTTTCCACTTTCCAGATCGCATTACGCATCACCGAATTTATCACAACGTAATATCTTTCATTCAGAAAAATCCTACGCTCCATAATCTTTACAAATTTCTTGTATTTATCTTCCTGGCGTTCCTGCTCGACGTCTTGCCCTTCCGAGTTCATAGCGTTAAGATTATTTATTTCACAATGCGCCTCTTTCCACAAACTGAAGATTGCTTTGTCAATGTAATGTAATGCCTGCTTTTGATTTTTCTGATCGTCCGTTTGTGGAGTCTCTGAATGGTTTTCCATTTTGCTTGTAATATTTTCCAAAAACAATTATTTTCCGTTCGGTTCCACACAATGTAGTGTTTTTGGGTTGACTTGGTGTGTCGGAGTGAGGGTTCCCAATCCCATGATCTGACACAAGTTCTACTTCTAGATCAGATTCTCAGACCCACCTGACTGACTACTGTTTATTTTTTTAGTTAATTTCTAAAGATAGTAAAGCTGTTACAAGGTCTAAAACCCCTTTGTCTTGTCTCCCCCAGAGGAACAATGCCACCCTAGTCCTTGCGGAGTCAACACCAAGTGCGAGATCATCAATGGAGTGCCCACCTGTTCCTGCCTCCATGGCTACCTTGGCAACCCCCTGAGCGGATGCCGGCACGAGTGCGAGAGCGACGGAGACTGCAGCAGCCGGGACATGTGCAGCAACTTCAAGTGCGTGCCGTCGTGCGGGCAGTGCGGCACTGGCGCCACTTGCCGGACGGTGGCCAACCACCGGGCGGTCTGCGAGTGCCCCAAGGGCTACATCGGCAGCCCGTACACGGAGTGCCGCCCAGAGTGCTATGGGGACTCCGACTGCCCGGCCGGGCGACCAGCGTGCTTCTACGGCATCTGCAAGAACACCTGCGACGGAGCCTGCGGCATCGGGGCCGACTGCAACCTGCGGGGCCTCACGCCCGTCTGCAGCTGCCCGCGCGACATGACTGGTGACCCGTTCGTCCGCTGCCGCCCCTTTACCAAGGAGGACCTCTGCAACCCCAACCCGTGCGGCACCAACGCCATCTGCGTTCCCGGACACGACAACACCGGACGGGAGCGACCCGTCTGCAACTGCCTGCCCGGACACACCGGCAATCCCCTCAGCCACTGCTCCAGGGTAAGTCCTTGCTTTCTATATTAGGGCCATTCTAAGATCTAGAGTTTTAATTGCCCGGTATCCAGCTTCTTTAAATTCTAGACAAAACTGGATATCCATTTGATTTAAATCCGCCGTGATTTGAGAGAACTTGAGAAAAATTTCAACCCGTTTTTGTAAAGTTAACTGTTCAAAAAATACTCAGCTTTTCCTATTTTATTGTTATTATTATTAGTAATTAGCTTATTATTAAAACTACAAGCTAGTTGATGAATAAAGCCATAGCGAAGGCCTAAAAAGGCCAAGTTTTTTCCTCTAATTTATTTTAACAAACCAAGAAAGAAAGACTGTAACCGAGTCTCATTACAATATAATACCCGGTACTCTTCATTTTCTTCTTTAGTACTCGCATTTTTTTCACTTAAGGTTATTTTTTGTTTAAACTTAAAAACAACCCTAAAACAAAGATTAATAAATTTTAACTAAATTCCGAGTAATATTGCCAATAGAGTTTTTTTTAAGTTTAAATGCTCCAACATAGCTGAGTATTCTTTCATGTATCGAATATACTAAATAAGGTCTTTTTTTTAAAAGGAGATTTCTTGAAAAAAGTATAAAGAAACTGGATGAGGCTAATAGGAGTCCATATGCAAAAACCGAAAGCTCTATCTCTTCTAGCTAATAGGTTCTACCTAGTAAATCGGGACAGACTAACAAACTAACAAACTTTACGAATATCAGATATAAAAATTAAAGCTTTATATATGTATGTATATAACTTATATTGTACGGCTTGAATCGCGGATATTGATCCGAGAGTACGAAAATATAGAAAAGATTTGAATTTTTGCTTGGTTATGTATTTAAGAATAAAGGACTTATCTTAAACAGGATATATTTTCTACATAATACCCATCTAGTATCTCAATAGAATCTCTATGAAATCTTACAGATGAATATCTTATTTGGAATCATTGTTTCTTTATTTTTAGGGAGAGTGTCTGAGCAACAACGAGTGTCCCGATCACCGGGCCTGCATCAACTACCAGTGCATCGATCCTTGCATCGGAAAGTGCGCCACGGGGGCCAGTTGTGAGCCGAAGGCCCATCTGGCGGTCTGCCGCTGTCCGCCCGGACAGTCCGGCGATGCCCTCGTCTCCTGCCGCCAGACCCGCACCTTCCCAGTGGCCAAGTACCACTAGAACCCTGAGAGCTGGAGCTACAGGAGCTGGGTGAGCAGAGGAAAAAGCACAACCTGCCATTACAAACACCATCCTTTGCCCTCCGCCTTCAAAACCACAGCTCTGCTCCCAAGAAACCCAGGTGTTTTTCTCTTGCTCACACTAGTCGTTAAATTAACCTCAATATTCTACTCATTTGAAGCAAACGAAAAAGAAAAAATGACGCAATAAAAAATTAAAACAAATAAATAATAATAATACTTAAAAAATAATAAATTGATTTTTTTGTGGGTCGCTTGAAGTGAATCACTGTGGACCTGCATCAACTACCAGGGAATCGATCGTTGGCAGTACACAATCCAAAGAATTATTATCAGAAAGAATATCGTTAAGATAGGCTTTATCAAAATACAAGGTGGCGCAAAAGTAATCCTCCTATCAGATGCTATAAATTTTGCGATTGGCCTCTAATGTCAGTTCTGTTTTGACATTAGGGTAGAAAGATCGCCTGATTTGACCGCTCCAGACTTCTTTTTGTGGGGCTTTTTGAAGTCGAGGGTTTATTTCAACAAGCCTCAGACTCTTGCAGCTCTTAAAGACAATATCCGTCCAGAATGTGAGGACCTATCGCCGGAAGTTCTGGCCAAAATGATGGAAAATGCCATAAAGAGGGCTCAAATGACAATCGACTGTGGCGGCGGCCATTTACATGACATCATATTCTCGACTTGATGTAAACAAATTAAAAGACCAAATTAAAATAATCCACGAGAAGAACCAAAGTTTATCATTTATTTTTAAATTACAGCCAAAAATCATCGGAAGGTTATTTTTGCGCCACCTTGTATTTGACAAAAAAGATTATCAACTTGGGTAAGATTTGGGTAAAAGTGAAAGAATGTGGATTTACAAAGTCCCCCAATGTTTTTTATTCTTCAAATTCTCCTCTACATGACTAATTGAACAATGAAAAGTGTAACGAACTGTTATTTCTGCTTCCGCTCGCCACAACTTGGCGCGGCTAGCTCACAGAGTTTCGCGGATCTGTTCCACCGAATGTATAGATTCGACGTGATTGCCCAAGCCCAAAAAATAATACAAATAGCTTGAGATTTCCACACTCTTTATTCCGAGATCTCTTCACTATACAAAAGGTTTTCCTTCTCTCTTCCTCGTTCCTCGCTCCGTCGTCGGCGTCCTCTGTGGTTGTTCAGGACGCCGCCGCTACTCCGTCGCCTTTGGTACTCCTGTTGCCGCGCCGCTAGCGATTCCGCTAACCTCCGCCCTTTTGCCTTGAAAACACCCCCTTGGGTCGACTACGACTGGTCAGACGATTGGCAGTGCTCTTTAGCCCCCCTACTCCCGGGAACCACCGTGCAAACGCGCCGGCGGGCCGGGATTAGAGGTTGGCTACGGACTGTCGCCTCCGCTACACCGGGACACCGTGCATTCGCGCCAGTGCCAGGTTCGGGAATGCCTATGCGTGTCGCCTCCGCTATACCGGGACACCGTGCATACGCTCCGGTGCCAGGTTTGGAAGTTGCCGTGTGACGCCTCCGCTACACCGCGTGTGACTGACCGAGCATCGCGCTCCCGCTGCACCGGGACACCGCGCATACGCGCTAGCGAGCCCGGAGTTTGGAGTGGCGGGGCTGGTGACCGGGGTGTTCTCACTCGGTCTTTGACATGGGCGTGAGTTCTCGAGTCGGCCGATCCTTGTTTCGCAGGACCACGCCTGTTGGTGGCGATTCCAGGAATCGGTAAGGAGTACGCCAGACGTATCCTTTCTTCACTTCCTTGCAAGGCTACCTGCTGTGTTCGGGAATGGCCCAACTCGACTCTGACGCCCCGGGCTCGTAGAGGAAAACGTCCAGCAACGGGTCCTTGTCTTCCTTGTCCTGTAAGTCTCGTGACTACCGGGCGTGTGATACCAAGTAGGCCTCCTTGTTTCGCAGGACCACGCCTGTTGGTTGTGATTTCAGGAGTCGGTAAGGCATACGCCAGACTTATCCCTTCCTCACTTCCTTGCAAGGCTACCTGCTGTGTTCGGGAGTGGACCAACTCGACTACACGGCCCTGGGTTTGTAGAGGAAAGTCCAGAAATGGATCCTTTCCTCACTTGTTCTTTACGTTCTCCTTGCGTTTGGCCGTCGGACTCTCCAAAGGCGGTCCTTCAACTCAACGCTACAAGCTTCCTAAAAAGACTCGTCTCGATCCGCTCCAATGGGCCTCCTTTTATACTGACTGGAGCGCCCGTTAGTCCTCCTGGATTCTGCTCCTTCCGTTAGTCCTGCTTCCAGAATCACGCCACTTCCAGAGTCGCCGTCCGTGCCTCCTCGCTTCTCCCGGCCACGGATCTCTGCTGCTGCTATGTGGTGCACCAGTGGGTTTCCAGGGCCCGCTGCACTCTGCGTCGCAACCCCCCTTGGCTCCTTGCTCCACAGTTTTACTGGTGCTCCGGGAACCGTTAAGTTCCACGTCGGTTCCGTCTTCCCACGGGTAGCGGTGTTTCGCCCCTCGCCGCCCCCCTTCACTCCTTGACTCAAGGCACCCCAACCCCCGTACTGATCCTGGGGACAGACGGGCATGCTCATATAAACTCAGGAGGTGATCCTGATCAAGAATATATATACTTTATAGGGTCGGAGATGTCTCCTTCACTGCGTTGCACACTTTCGACCAAAATTATAATACCCTCTGCAAGGGTATGAAAATGTCATTTTTTTTTGGATCAACTAAATAGGTTTGACCACACTGTTATTTGGTATGCCCACCCACGTTGTCCGGGCTTTTTTAATTGCTTTAACCAAAAATCAAATTGAATCACCAAAAATCACCAATCTTCCATCTTCGTAAACTCTTATGGACAATAGTCCCCACTCCCCAGTTTTCCATAATGGTAATGTTGGGGGGGTAAGGCGGCCAATCGAGCAATTTGACGTTTTGGTCCTGAATCCATTGCTTTACAACCGAGCGGTACGGATGGGAGCGTTGTCATGTTGGTACGTCCATACGACTATAAATCTCAGAAACCAGAGGTAAATTCTTGTTGAAGTATGTACATTCATCTTTGAGGTGACAAACTGCAGCTCGCACGTTCTATAAAAAGATATGGCTCCCCACACCATTACTCCACCTTCACACGTGTGTGAATGTTGGTAATTTTACCAAATACCAGTATATGCAAAGCAATTTCCGATCGTTTAGTTATATGGCAGTTATAAGAGTTATATAGTCGGCCAATCCCTATGAAATTCGGTGGGTCGTATTTTTTTGTTAAAAATAGCATTCGTACAAAATGCGAACTCTTTAACGCTATAGTCGGCCGATCCAGCCGTTCCGACTTATATACTGTGTGCAAAGGAAGGAAGGGTGTGTGCAAAGTTTCAAGACGATAGCTTTAAAACTGAGAGACTAGTTTGCGTAGAAACAGACAGACGGACAGACGGACATGCTTATATAAACTCAGGAGGTGATCCTGATCAAGAATATATATATTTTGTATACTTTGTTATACCCTCTGCAAGGGTGTAAACAGTGGCGGATTTAACAGGTGGGCAAAGGCGCGCTTGCCCACTGGGCCCCCCCGACGAAAGGCTTTCAGGGCCCCCCTTTTTTGTTGAAAAAATGTTTCCGTGAGTCTCTTGTGGACAGCACAAGTTCAATTTTCATTCAGGGGCCCCCTGTTATCAGAATAATTGCAATGCTTGATAACTATCGTAAATTGAATATAAAATCAAATAACTTTTGGGTGCAATCCTAGAAGAGGGGCCCCCCAGCTAAATTCGGCTAAATTTGGAGTTGATCGAAAGGGGAAAGCCTCAGGTAACGACATAGACCCAAAAAAAACCGATTGCGATCATTCCTTACCTTGTAATTTACGGTTATATCCGGCAATGGGGGGGTTATTTTTTCCCATATTACGGCGTCGATATTAAACGACGGGGGTATGGAGTGACAGGGGGGCCCTGAAAAAATTTTGCCCACTGGACCTTTTTCCTTAAATCCGCCACTGAAAATAATTAAAATATTTAAATTAAAAATTAATAATACTTTCACTAATTGTTAAGAACAAATTTATTAACAAAATACAAAAACAAAAATAGACATTTATACAGTATACAGTCCAATTATGTATAATCGAAGAAAAGGTTAAAGTAACATCAAATTTATTCAAAAAATATTAATCAAAAACACATCAAATTTACACCTCTTTTTGTGACCCTTTCCAGAATATTCAAGCATTGAACAATATTTTATATAAAAATTCTTAAGTTAGAGTTTCAAGGGATCGGACCCATGAAATACGAGTCGAACAGCATGGTTTAAAACCGATCCCCTGCAGCCTAACACAAACACATACATAAGTGGTGCGCTTATCGCACTTGAGAAAGGGTCGCATAGCATGTCAGCGTGCAGTGCGTTGATAAGTAGTTTTAAATAGGTTTAAGGTTTTCATGTATCCTACTTATAAGAGAATTGTACAGAATAAAATCAGTTTCTAAACGGAATTCATTGGAGTGCGACCTTCTTATTTGGGGCTCCTCTTAGGGGCTGTCCAGCCGTTCGTTGTGAAATTATGGAATTTACCGTAATCTGTTTTAAAGTTTCGGTTGTGACATGTGCTCGTGTGTTTTGCAATGGAATCAAACCTAAGTGAACTATTTCAATCGTTTTTTAAATCATACAAGCTGCAATATCCAGATAAAAGACCGTCGGATTGCCAAAAGGAAGCAACGGCAATAAGGAAATCAGCAAAAAAAGAACAAAAAGATTTTCAAACATACATAAAAGATTTAATAAAAACATATGAAAATCAGGTGCTTCAAAAAACAAAACGATGTCATTTTTTATAAATGCTTCAAAGGTATGTACGATATTCTAAATATATTTAATTTAGTTCGCTATACATATGCATTCATAGTGTTAGCAAAATAAAAAAAAATAGTGTTATAAATTATGACTATTGAAATTACTATACTTTGTAGCGTGTAACGGTCTTCTGCGCTTTCTCGAAAGGATTTGTATTTGCGAGGGCACAAGATAGATAGCTACATAGATACTAAACCGGGAGAACGGAAGAATTAATTCGAAGCGGAAAAGATAGATTTAGAAAGAGAGAGAGAGGAGAGAAGTAGAAAGAAGTAGTTTGCGATGCCACCGATGTAAATAGGCTCGCGTACTGCCCACCCTACCTTTGGCCACAGTCCGATAAAGCAATGCTTTAGTGACCCCTTAGAACACCCTACAACCGTGG